TTTTGGTGCTCAATGCTCTTCAAAAAATTCTTTTATGAATATAATGTTTAACTTAAAAATGAAATATTAAATATTGGTTATCCACGTTATAAAAAATCAATCACCATTATTCAATTGTGGACATCAAATCTAATGCTTATAGTTAGCTTTTCTAAAATTAACATATAAGAAAATGCCAGAAAATAACTTGACCTGTGTTTCATTGCTTAATGAATTGTGTTAGAATTCATATGTTGTTTCCCAGCTGTACTTTCTGATAGTTTGGAAACAAAACCATCACGCGCCAAAGGACAGACGGGTGAACTGTCAGGATTGCAATTTAATCAAGTGCGAGTTATCCTCGTAGAAATATTGCTATGGCGTGTGAAGACCGCTTTTATAAACTGTGTGTGGCAGTGCTACTGTCTTTATCAACTATCGGTCGGGAGTATAAACGAGTTGCATATGTTTACATTACAGTACATAAGAAAAGTTTCAATTGGACATTGCATTGAAAATTAAAAAGATAATTGTAATGTCGCTGTGCACTTTTCTGCACATTCTGCTATTTCTCTTTAAGATATAAATGTATTCAAACGATGATCTTGAACATTATGATAAATATATTATGGAATCATAAAACACATTGTAGTTATTTCAGATATTTTCAGATAGAGAGGATTCTCAGTATCCCTGCACTATTAAAGCTCATCAAGCATCTTCGTGATCGTCATAATGCAGGATACAGTAGAAACAATTTTTGTTCCAGAGTTAACTCCCTAATGAAAACAGTGCCGTTTTTCAATTATAAGAATTTAATTTGCCGAATAATTATTGCCAAATGGCATCATATTTTTTTCAAACGCTCGCTCAACATGGGAAGGAAGTGACAATGCTCCTTACCGTACGAATGATGTTCACTAAAACCAAAGTTTTTGACGAAAACACAACAAATTCGAAAGTGGTCTATTGAGGTAAAGATTTAATTAAACCCACCAGGTATATAGTAATAGGTGTAATTCCACAATTGATTTTCCATCGTTAGTCTTTGTTAAATTTGCACATTTAAAAAAAAAACAAAAAAAAAACAAAAAAAAAAAAACAAAAAAAAAAACCAAATGTGCAGAATTTATCTTTGCATCAAGTAAAGAAATACTTGGCATGAGTACAGTTTTATCCTGTCCTGTCCTAAAGACAAAGTTTCACATAACATTTCATTGCATTTAAGAAAATAACTGGAAGTTAAACAATCATATTTTCACCCTTGTTTTCATGTGTACAAGCTTTAGTTACCATGTAACCCCAAGTGTCCAACGTATTCCATTGAAACAACAAATAAAAAAATAATTTTGCTTTGATACCCAAGATCTATGTTTATGACACATACATCGTTTACTGCGATGAAATGTAGGATTAATTTTCTACAACTGTCAAATTTAAGGGAAAATATTTCGATCCCTTTTTTGTATGCCTCTGGATGTGACATACTGTAATCTGGTGGTATTACACTTATTATTTTCCCTTTGCCATTCGTCAAAAGCGAACGCATTGAAAGCGTGTATACTAAGCATTAACTTTGTGGGCGTGTTTTATCTTAAATACACTCTCAGTTGACGTGATTGATTTTGAATTAACGGTAAGTACAAAATTTGCGTTTGAAAAAGGTGTTGTTCTCAATCTATATATAATATACATTGCAAACATACATAATACTCCATTTTTCATGCTTTAAGACAGAAAAATGTTTTAGAGACGATGACATATTCACTGTTAATAATTGAAAATTTCGTTTAATATTGTTTTAAAATTGATATCAAGGTTAACAATTACGGCTAATTCCCTTGATTCAATACCATATATACGGGATCAGTAACATCCATATAAGCAGGGTTCATATTCATATAATATAATCTGTGTTTTCGTCTTGATCTCGAAAAAGATAGGCACGAAGCCCATCAAAAACAGGGAGTGATCTAAGATGATTTTACTATGCCATTAAACATTAACCAGCTATCAATCCATCCATCCACAGTCCTTTCTGTAAAAATCATTGCCATAGTAGTCATTCTAGGTCACGCTGGTCCACGCCTGTAAAGTGTTATTTTGATTCATATATTTATGACAGTGATATATAGCAAGGATTGTTTTATGTTTGCTTCAATTAGTTTAAATCATGAATTGATGTTTATGTATTTCCAGATAGACAGACAATGGGGACATTCGAGCGAAAATATTCTGGAACCTTGTTTTCAGAAATGAAAGTTGTTGTATCAGTCAGCGCACGTGCTAGATGTGCTGACCTTTGCCACACTGATAGAGAATGTTCTGATTTTATTTACGATAATTCTATATTGAAATGCGCCTTGATTAGAGAAGATGCAGTGGCTGGTGATCACTATTGTAGTCATACTTTTCAATGTTTTCTAAAGCTATAGAATTATATATTATACCTACATACAATGATCCAAACACAATTCTCAAATATATATTTGGCAGTTGTTTTCGAGTCTTAGTTCGAAAGATACCCAAACGTTTTCACATTTTAAAAATCGAAGGCTTATTTTGTTCTCTTGTAGACAGTTATAAAGCAATATAATTGCAGAACCAAATCCGTGACGGATCAAGAACTAGAATTGCTTTTCGTTAAAACTATTTTGACGAACTGAAGTCTATACACATGTTTTATAATGCATTAAAATCAAATTATTGATTATTATTGTTTTATTGCACTATTTGATTTTATAAAATTGTTTATTGCAAATATATTCTTATATCATACTGTTTATCGCAGTACATCGTATCGCACTTGCAGGTTTTTGCAATATGAAATCCTGCTCATATTCTTTGATATAAGTACAAGGACCGATTGATATGATGTACCATGAATGAAATGACTACAATATGATTTATGATTCTATAACATATTTATCCTAATGTTCAAGATCATCGTTTGAATACATATATCTGAAAATGAAATAACAGAATATGCAGAAAAGTGCGCAGCAACATTTCAATTATCTTTTTAATTGTCAATGCAATGTCCTATTGAAACTTTTCGTATACACTGCAATGTAAACATATGTCACTCGTTTATTCTCCCGCCCGATAGTGTATTAAGACTAATTCAACTGACGTCCATGGCTGTGTTAGGAAAAGGGATAGAATCGATTATCACTGCCACAAACAGTCTTTAAAACATGTCTTCACCCACCTTTGCAATATTTCTTCGAGGATAACTCGCAGTTAATAATAATTGCAATCCTGACAGCTCACATGTCTGTCCTGGATGATTTTGTTTCCAAACTACAAGAACTACAGCTGGGTAACAAAATATGAATTATAAAATTATAAAACAATTCATTAAGCAATGAAACACAGTTTAAGTTTAAATTCTTGAATTTTCTAATATGCTTATTCTAGAAAAGCTAACTATCAGCATCAAATTCGAAGTTCGATGAATAATGGTGATGAATTGTTTATGACGTGGATACCCAATATATAATTTTTCTTCTTTAAGTTAAACATTATCTTTATAAAAGATTTTTTGAAGAGCATTGAGCATTGAGCACAAAAAAATAACAAAATATTGATCTCAATGTTTATCGTTTAAATTGTTGGACGATTGTTCTTATTAAAGTTGTCTCAATTTATGATTAAATCTATATAAAAAAGATGTTGAATGATTGTCAATGAGACAACTCTTCTTAAGAAACATAATGACAGAAATTAAAAACTATAGGTCACCGTACGGCCTTTAACAATGAACAAAGCTCATACCGCATAGTCAGCAGTAAAAGGCCCCGAAATGACAAATGTAAAACATTTAAAACGAGAAAACGTTCGGCCTAATTTATGTACATAATGCATGAACGAAAAAAAATATGTAACACAGCATATATACATATTTTTCTTTTTATTAAAATTAAATGTATTATTATGTGTATGTATCAATGACTCCCGTTACATTTTATTAACAACTAATAAAAATCTTAAATTTTTGCTGCATATTTTCCCCTGTGTTTGTATAATTTTCTTCAAAAACGTGATATTGGCGTTTAAATTATTGTCTGACAGGTACATTAAGCGGAATGTTGAGCTTAGGTTGGTACGTATGTAACATTTTGAACATCAAAGGTAGCAGATAACATCTATGAAATGTTCTTTTTGACTTATTCAATTCAGGCAGACGTTACATAATCTGTATATGTGTGTTATTAATTGCTATTGTTAACTCATTTTGATTATATTTTACCTTAAAAGTTTTCCCGGGGAGTCGGTTTTTGAAATGTACTGCATATGGGAGAGTACGATTTGGAGAGGAGGTTCAAATGGGTATTTTTTTCTTTTTCGACAAATGGTTTTTGATTTCAATTTTGGAACATTCGTACTTTTGAGTATAGTCAATGGTATACAAAATTTACTTTCGTAGTAGCAAAACACAAGTCTTTATCAACGTGAAGGCTGTCAAAACATTATGTTAATATTTTTGCTGCTGGTTTTATTACTTTAAAGTGCCAAGCACTGTCTCATTCATTGTAAATTCTGTGAGTTTTCTAAGAATGTTATTCAACGTTCAGAACTACAACAACAAAAAAAGAATCAACTATAGTTTTCAGTGTTCATGAGTTTTTTGGGGGGTTTAGAAACGTTTGTTTAAAAAGACATTTATTGTCCAAATGTGCATCTGGTGCAGCAACATTGGTACCGTTTATCGTAATACTTGAAAAATGCTAGCAATTTCGAATCAGCACATTATATGACGTCGTCATTGAAAGCTGTATTGAGTAGACAGTAATGAGATGCTGAAACAGATTTATTACTTCATTATTTAGAGAAATGTTTGTTTAAAATAACTATTCAATTTTGATGAAGTTAACGGCGAAAAAACAAAATATCTTCAATTTTAGAGAGGAAATATGTTCGACATCTAACCAGATAATCTTAATTACAGTCACAACTGTGAGCTTTGTATTTGTTAAAATAGTCTTCCATAAATTTTGAATTATCGATAAACTTGAGGAGGAAGTAATTTACACACCACGTATCTCGCAAACAAGTAAGTTTATTCTGTCATTTTATGAAAAAATCTCAACTTATTTAAATCCCACGATTTAGATTTTTTTTTTGCATTTGAATACAAAGCCAATCTTGTGACCATAAATGCAGTGTAAACTAATTATTCAACCTTAATGTCAAATAAATTGCATTTTAAAACTTTTAAAACCACAATGACAACAAAATGTCTTCTCATGCCTATTATGTCCCCTTCTGAACAGACTTGACATAATTATTGTGTGGCCCAAATAAGTCCGTGTTGCTTCAATATCAGATACAAACATTTAACCACATAACTAGTCCAAATAAGTTTAACGTCTTGGAATTATATTATTTTGTTTGTTCATATTCAAGTGTGAACGGAATGATATGAGGCATATGATATATTGAACATGTTATTACAATTAATTGACCTGTACAAAATAAATCCACGTCTATATTAAGAGGCCTATACCACCGTTTAACTAACACTTTGCTGTGTAACGTAGTGGGTCAAATATTGTGAAGGACAAGTGATTGTTACAAATGGTGCATAACTATGAAATACGATTGGTATGATTGCCAATAAGACAACTCTTTACAAGAGACAAATTAACAAATTTAGGTCACTGTAAGGCATTTAACAATGAGCAAATCCATACCACATAGTCAACTATAAAAAGTCCCGACATGACAAATATAAAACAAGTCAAACGAGAAAACTAACGGCCTGATATTAAAAATAGAATAATGACCGAAAAATAAATATGATATACAGCAACAAACGACAACCACTGAATAAATGGCCCCTAACTTGGTAAAGGCGCATACATTATGTAGAGTTTAACTTGTTTGAAGGCGCCAACCCTTCACTAACCTTGGACATTAGTGAAACAGTACAACATAAGAACAAACTATAAAGATTGTTTGAAAAGGGTTTAACTCGTCAGATAGATACAAAGCAGAAATTTATCTTACAAAACAAACCAGACGTGGCAGGGTACTTATACATTCCTGCAACAACAAAAAAGACACTAAGTACAGATCTAATTGTACTTGCTGTTACAGACAGTTAGTTCAAAGCCAATACCAACTAATACAAAAAGTCATGAATCTAAGACTAAAATATCAATCAGTATACATCCAACATATAATGGATTTAGTGTAACGACGTCATTAACAGTCAGAGAAAAAAATGACCTTCCAATGCCAAGATACAGTTATCGATAGTTTGTAGAGTCACTAATGTGCATATGTATGAATACAATAGTATTTAGTTTGATTTTAATTTACTGATAACAAAATCAATATTGATACCAATAAAACAATATTCAAAGATCTAATTTCAATGTTGAGTTTCTAACCTTTTAGATCAGTTTATTTGATGGGTCGGTAAGGTTACTCGGGATACATCTAAATTTTCAGGTTCGGTAAACATGGTACACCACATCTTCGTTACCATAAGAATGTGCTATCCTGTTAGAAATAAGTTTTTTACAGGTACAACCAAACATCCAATTCAAATCTATGTATACACAGAAGAATTAATTTAAAGTTTTATGTAATTTGTGGTAATGAATCCTTGAATTAATAATACACAAGTAATACATGGATTACGTCGTTGAGATCCAAAATGTCAAAACAGACACGAACATAGCGAACAAGTTGTGATATATAAACGCCGTCAGATGATGCCAAATGAATATCATCGACTAAACAATAACGTTTAGGAACGAAAAATCGTCCCTTTTGTCATTAATGTCGGTGTAGTGTTCCCTTCGATATATTCATAAAAAAACAAAACGTATTTAAACTCTAACCTATCAAGAAATTATAATATCAAGTATACGAAAATAGTTATTTACAAGAACATGAAGAAAGCAGGATGAAATATATCACGATAACAGAGATAAACAAAGCGTAATAACGATATCATGTCCTCCTTTTCTTTAATGACCTTTTATTGAATCCAAGTGCGTATCAACTGCCTAATAGTCAGTGCTTCGATACTAACATGATTTATAATAAATTTGTCTGAAATTCATGGATGATGAATACAGAATATAATAAGAAACTTCTTTTTGAAAAGTTGATCTTAGATGGCTGCGGCTACACTATTATATATATCCCTTTTCGTTATAAATCATCTGACGTATTTGGGGTGTCTATACAACCCTGGTTCTCAAATGTTTAGACTTTAGCGTTCCTGATTATGACTAATCCAGATTTTGGGTACAACATGTCCTTCACTTGACTTAACAAATTATTTTGAATGATGCAACAACACTTGAGAGATTAATACACACAGAAATAGGAATGTGTGCACATTCAAATGTTACTAAATCGGAGAGATAATAAAACCAAATATGTGAGCTTCAAATCGATTCTGCATTTGTTGCAAAGATCAATCAGAGCTCGAGGACGGAGTATATTTTAACATATTGTCCCGTTTTAAGAAAGTTCAGATTACTGATGATTCAGTATTATTCGTTGGATTCCAATTTTCGTGGATTCCGTTGGTACAGTTGAACCACGAACTTAAATTTGCAACAAATTATGTATTTTCTATAGGCTTGTATGCAGACTTTTGCTAAACAAGGAAATCAAATATCCACGAAAATATAAGTTTTCCTCAATCCACGAAAATAAATTAATCCACAATATTTTTTTATAGAATTTCTCAAATAAAGATGATTAGTCATTTATGTATACACGTACATTTTTATTATGATTTTATATCGTGTATTAACATTTCGATGATGAATGTTTAGACTCTTTGATAATATTATAGCCTGAACACTTTTATCAAACTAACATTTCTTCACTTATGATCGAATCGAAAATATTCGAAGTCCATAATCATATAATAACATTAGATTTATGTTTCATTATTATACGTTATTTTAATTGGCTAACAGCAATCTCGCTTCATTTTTCATTTCAAAATGAATTGCATGAATTGAAACATACATGATGACACACGTTTCCACAATAAAGTGCACAGGTAAATAAAAGAAAAACTTGATAGTAATCGTGTTTTCATGATCATAGCGAAAAAATGTAATTATAAGTATTGAATGCTTCTTATAGTAATTTTATAGGGTTGTAAAAGCGTTGACCGTGCGTACATTTTTAGAATACAAAAAGTACTTCGGTCAACGCTTTTACACCCCAATGAATTTACAAAAAGAAGCATTCATTTCTTAAATACAAACTTCAATAGCTCATATAACCATGGAGGCTAAAGCAGAAAAGCCAAATCCAGACCTGGTGTTATAACAAAATATCAGGTATATATACATTTACCTTCGCGTTTATTTTATATATTTAAAACTGTTATAACACAATAACCAATGACTGTTAACTTTTTAAAACCATGGCTTATATACGTGACCTCGTGAATGTTCCAAAACCAGTTAAACATGGGAACCGTGTACATAGAACAGTTAGTTATTAGGCTTATTAAAAAAGTAAGTAACCGAGTGTAGTTTCTTTAGAAAAAATAACAAGGTATTGTCATCATATTAAAACACATTGTAAACATATCTAATTATAATTTTCAATCTTTTAGACAAAACAAATATCTTAGAGATGCTCACTGTCACTATTATTGATCATTATAAAAACGAAAGACAATTGTATATTACTTTCCTAATACCTACGTCCGAATTCGCCATATAAGTTAATCGGTAAGATAAATTCATTACATCGTGTGCTAGTGAGAAATTATAATATTTGGGGGTAAGAAATTTCCTTTAGGCTTCAAGCCTTCTCGGTCTTGTCCCAAATGGACTTTACTGACCATGAATATATCGTTTTATGACACAATCACACTGTGTAACCAATAATGCTTCTTTCCAAATATTTCAGGAATGGCGCAGGTATTGGCAGTCCCAGGAGATGTTAGACATGGATTCGTCTACAAAACCACATTCCACCATGATTTTGGACGAATTACTGCAATAGCGTCGACAACAACGGGAAACATTTTATTGTGTGACTATGATAAAAAGAATCTGCTTTTAGTTGATCCTCTTGGAAAATACCTAAATAAGATTAATTTGGAAAGTGAACCATTTGATGTGGCAATTACAAGTCAAAATATAGGATATGTTACCCTACCGAGCACCAGAACTGTATTACGAATAGATCCAGACCGACTGGTTGTACTACATAAGGCAGGAAACAACGATCAAAGTACTACCGTGACTTGTGTGTCAGCAGTACCGAATTCTGGAAGGGACACTGAAAATAAGGATCCATGCTATCTTGGCGTAAACATGAATAGTTCTTCGTTCGCATATCCAGTCAAAAACTATAACATGTAAGTCGTCACTCTTGATCTTATTTTTGAAAACAAAATATAGTCATATTTGTTTTCTTTTTGAGATTAATCAAGTCAGTGAGCAATTATTTTTTCATTCATTCTTTTCATTTATATAAAGAAGGAGTTTCGGAAATAACATAAGAGTATATTAAACGTACACATTGCTAAACATAATTGATTGATTTCGTCTCACTTTCTAAAATGCTTGTTATAATGGTACAAACTGTGCGAATATCTCAACTTTTATATATAACAAAAATATAATGTGACAAGACCATAATAATAGAAATCTTCCGAATAAAACTATATAAAAAATTGCACTAAACGATTCCTTTTACTTGAAATGTACTATAAATGTTCAGAATAGATCAAATTAAAGCCAGCGTTTTGTATATATATCAAATGTTAACATGATTTCGAACTCTCCCGAACAGCATTAATGCATATTTGATGTCGATGTTATAGCTTATTACACCATGAGCACTTGATTTGCTAAATCTGTACATCCCAGGCCTCGATCATGGTATATATTCGCTCAACAAATAGGAGCAACATGCATTTATTTTATAGATATTTAACATATTTTTCCAGTTTTTACACTACATGTCCATCTAATGATATTGTTGTAAGTCTGTAAAACCATTGTCACAATGTTAATGAGTCTGCTTCTACACCAACAATGATGCTCCTCGTTCTGTATATACATCTGTGTGTTGTTGCCAATCGTATATTCAATTAACAAAACTCCAATTTTCGTTTGGTTTCTGCTCCGTTAGGCTGTTGTATAAACGTCCTGGTTGAATACTGGGCAGAAAAAACATGAGAGACGAAACGTCCTCCAGCAATTATACGAATACAGAACTCCATGGTAGATTACAAAATAGAAATCCATGATAACTGAACATTAAACGTAATCAACCAACTGAACAAGCGAAAAAAAAAACCTGTCATATTCCTGACTTGGTTCATCGACCCAGTGGTTTTATCAGATATGCCCGGCATATAATTGTTAAATGCTCCGGACTCGCCTTTTGTTTACACTTGATTCGTCAGTGACGCCCGAATTAGATAGGTTGAAGACAAAAAAACTTTCAAACTTCGATAAAAAAATTGAAAACAACACGTTTAATAATTTTATGCGTCCGAAGCGCTTTTCTGGATTTACCTTCATCAGGAACGCTCAAAGCCAAACATTTGAAATCCTAGGGATGTATAAGTACCGAAACAGTTGAAGAGCTATATGACAAAAATACCTAAAACAAATAGCCAAATTCATCTAAGGTCAACTTTACCTGAGGGAGTTGAAACCTTTGTTTCTTTATAATTTCAAAATTTATAAACGGACAATTTTAGAAAGGTTTGTTATAAATCATGCCAGTACCGAAATACTGACTACTGAGCTGATGATACCCTCGGGGACTGATAGTCCACCAGCAGAGGTATCGACCCAGTGATGTAAAAAATTGAAAACAACACGTTGCATAATTTTATGCATAATAAGTTATGCCAAAAAATATTTGACTGATGGTAGAAAAACCATAGTGTTCCAAAAAATTAACTATATTTTAAACATTGATATGTTATGTCAACACATGGTGCTGTTGCAATATTATCGCTCCCAATGGAATAAGGAATGGCTTATACTAGTTATACCTTTAAAATATTTATTTATATATTGAGTATTGCGTCACTCTAACTGTCTAGTAGATTGAAAAATACGTTAAGGTTGAAGATCTATAATGCATTTTAATTCTCACATAAGTTAAGGACGACGTAGTCGCAATTGCAATTGTTAAACAAGATTAAGATTTACAATTTTAAAATCCTGAAATCATATTTTAGACATTAAAGCCTTACAATCGTAATTAAGTTTCAAGCAACCAACAATCAATCAATCATTTACCAATTTTCTTTGTTTTGTTATTTTCCTTTAACTCTTTCAGATGCTTCACACCCGAAACTGGAAATGTAGCTTCCTATGGAAAGGTAATTGACCCTCGTGTTGTAAAGTTCCATGCGTTTAATGCTAGAACTTTTTTTTCTTGTATCGGTGGTCAGAGTTATATCAAGATTACAAATCCAGATTATGGCCTACGTGAACATATTGTCAACATTAAAACTATGGTAATGCCAACAGGTATATGCTCTGATAACAAAGAACACATTTATATAAGTGGACAGGCTTCAAACAACATACACCGGTTGACACAACATGGAAATGTTTTAGATATACCATTGGACAGTCGACATGGCATCAAACAACCAGTTGCTTTATGTTTCACCAAAAACTATGATACATTATATATTGTCAATCAATGGGGAAAATCTGTTTTGGTTTTTGATGTGATTTGATAAATATGGATTAATGCGAGTTCTTTCAATGCTATTAATTTGAGATCGGTTATAATTTTGATATAGCAGTATAGTTATTTTTATTATAACAAATAGTAAATCCTGCATCACATGTAAACAATACCTCGACAAACGCCCGACTGTGAAATTGTTAGTTTTGGTTTTGTTTCATAATATTTGAATGTGAAAGGATTTTTAATTTTCGGAATCTCGGTAAACTAGAACTTTTGTGATACCTTATTTTTGGATGGGGTATATTCGAATTTGTATAACCCCATCGCCTATTGTGCTTGTACCAAATCATGCAATTTATACCTTTGTTTTACGTCGTATTTATTAGGAGACTCAAGTGTTGAGTCAACAAATCCGTATTAGCTATAATGGCTCTTTAACACTTTCACTGTTTATAAACTATTAATTAAGTTAACCAGCAATATACTTGTAAATGTCATATGCTTGATATTACTTTCAATATATAATAATCATTTATATAATTATATAGAATCTGGTTTGTTTATCATCATATTAAATCTATATAACCTTTTCTATGTGTTGTTAAATATCATGTAAAACATTATGAATATGAGTGGAGGGACAATAATAAGCATACATGAACGCAATACGTACAGCAATGTTCCAATTCAAATAACCATTCACGTAGGCATATGACATGGATGGATAGTTGTTTCATTGACACTTATACCACTTCTTATAACTATAAAGAAGACTGATATCTTCTTTGCCATTCGTACATGCCTTTACTATATATCAAGTTCTTAATCATTTCAAGGCTACAGAAGTTGTTCAAAGTTAATTGAATTGAGATTTTCCAGGATCGAACATTTTTTCATATTAGAAGAAAAAATGCACAGTATAAATTAATTATCTTGACAAATAATAACACAAAATATCGTTTATTAATAGTAAACCATGCGACATATTTTGATCTATTGTTCATATTTATAACTGTAATGATATCTAGTGCTAAACAGATTAATAGTGTCATCATAGAGAATTCACGCAAAATGTGGAATATGACTACCCAAATTTTGTTGTTTCAAATTCGTGCATTTGAGTTAAGTTCAAAAAGTTTTTAGATTAATTGTCAAATTTTGCATCAGTTTGAATTGTCATAGTCATGTGTTATAGTAATAGAATCACATTCATAACCATGATAACCGCAGATTATGGTTCATAGCTATTGTCAGTCGTACCAAACTATGTAGGAACAGATAATATCTGTATTTGCATTTTATGATTTTAAGGAAAAGGTTATACCGATAGCAAGTGATCAGAAATCCTACAAAGAAATCTCCTTGAAAGCCAAAATATGAGTGTATCCTCCATCGTTAAGATAATAATTCATTCCCCCCAAATACTGATGGAGACATATATGATCGATGATTAAAAAGTTTAGTTTTTCGAACATTAAAAAATACAAAATCTACAGTGAATGTATTTATGGGAATTTAAGGGATGTATATTAATAAAAAAAGAATATTTGAAAATTCGAAATATTTTTTGTACACTCATTTCTATAGGTCGGATCGATTTTTGATCGAATCTATGGTTTTTTCATTTTATTCAAATAAAGTGCAAAATAATGTGTCTGAAACCAATCCCATTGTTTTGATTCGAGATTTTTGTGTTCGCAATGTTTCCATATAAAAAAGCAGGAGATAACACCAGTCATATAAAATTTTGTGATCTACTTATTTATTTACACAAAAAAACATGTCCTGTATATGTCTGTTATTGCTATTGATATTATATTTTTTGGTTTTATGTATGTATCTTGGCGTTTCCTTTCAAAATGCGAAACCTATACATGAGTGCCATTTGGAAAGTAGAAACGTATGGGTATTTTTTTGCGACGATTGTGCTTTCTAGGGATCCTATCCATGGATAAAAACTACCAAGTATATGAATCTACCACAAAACATAAGACGTCATGCAAATGTACGATGCATTCTAATATAAAGATGATTTTTTGGTTTTTTAAACATTAGAATTTCATTTAATATTTCAACATGCCACAAAATTAAAGTGTCAGTATTAGTATGTTGTTGTTAAATGCATTGACTCTACTCAATGTATAAAATGTCTGCTATATTTGCAACTGGAGGTTTATACTTGTGTATATGCAGAACGCAATTAATTGCATGTATGTATCGTTTTTTACCTTATCCATAAACATTGGGTTAGTATCTTATAATTAAAAATAACGAAAAACACAACATAAGTTTTATGAAATAAACGGCAAAATATCACAACAGGTTAAAATTTGTAAAACAATATTTTTAACCCCAGTAGATAACCCTTGGTAAAGTCAAAACTGTGACTTTCCTCTTAGTCAGATACAGGCTTCCATAAATTTGAAAATGCGATAAAATTGAAAAGGAAGTAATTTATAAGCCCCTTCAATCAACATACAATTAAGTTTATTGTTGCAATTTACAAAAACAAACGCATTTGAGTCCCGTGATTCAGAAAATACGAGGGAATTTTCAGATTCACATAATATCTAAAAAAAAGCTAAACCAAACCTCCAAGTCCAATTTAAATATAATGAAAACAATATGCATAAGCAATCATGAATTCCGAAACTATTTAGAAAAAAAGGAATTTATAAAGGAAAATACAATAACAGTTTTTAGGCGGTGATAATTTTTTTGCATGTTCCCAGCTGCTCAAGGATAGCATGATTAGATAGAAAAACATTTACGCTTCATAAAATCTAGTCTTAAAGTCACACAATTATCATAATATATTTTATATATTACTATATAGTAAACATCCTTTATGAGCCCGGACAAAATGTTTAAATATGTTAGATTAACAGTCTCTATCCAGTCGTCCTGTTGTAGGAGTATGAATCGTAGGTCTATATGCTAAATGTCCTGAGTTCGAATCCAAGCATAGTCACTGGATTTTTTCTACATACATTTTGATAGTTTATAGTCTTTTCCGTATAAATAATTCTAAGTTTTATTGTGGATTTGTCATTCCCGCATAAGTGCTTCAGAACATAGGAAGGCATGCAGAATAAAGACACCCAAACTAGAGTGGTCTGGTAGGGGCGATCCGGCTCAGATAAACCTTGATGGAACAAAGGAGCTTGGATGTAACAATAATTATCAATCAAGGAATAAATTGATATGAAATTTCCGTCTCTTTACGTTATCAAACCATCAATCAATACATCATTCAACCACACAAACAACGTAAATCAATTGATTAACGTATGTTAAATTTGACCAATACATCTTTAGGAAGAATTTGACACTTGGTGTTATGCAACCAGTTCACCAACCGATCAACCTACTATATAACATGTTATAAAAGGTGATAAGACCTTCAGTCAAAAACATTTGTTATTTATTTATATATTGGTGTGCCGAGTTTATCGAACATAAATTTAATACTTTTGAGATGACCTTATTTCAATATCTCAAAGGTAGACTTTGGACTCTCAATTGGCAATTGTAAACATTTATCTAACATGTCTATTAGACTGATAATATATACAAACATAGGATGTTGATTTATTATCTACCTGTCGTTCATCAAACCATTCGATGTAATAGTTATTGTATTTTATAAAAAGAACAATCAAGTGCTATAATGTAATAAAGGGTGATTTCAAAAAAAAAAAAAAAAAGAAAACGTATTAATGGTATTATTCTCTCCTTCACCTCCTAATTAGCCTTTCATTGAGCCTGTGAGTGTAACATCTGCTCAATAGTCAGCACTTCAATACTGAAATGATTTAGAAAAGAGTTGTCTCTTTAATTCTCCATTCACCAATACAGAACTTAGAATCAAACTAAACGATCCAACTTCCCCAGGCAAAGTAAACTTTAGATGAATGCCAATATTCTCTTAAATATTCCTGTTGGTCATAAGGTGCAGATGTTTTGGGTGTATATATTCTCTCAAAAGAAAAGCGAAAGATACAAAAAATTACTTTCAAACTCATAAGTCGAAAATAAACTGAAAACGCCATGGCAAAAAAAAAAAAAAATTAAAAAGGCTAAAAAAAGGCGAACAACAATAACAAAACACAGCATGGAAAACTAATACTGAGCAACACGAACCCAACTAAAAAACGTTTAGGTTTGAGCAATCCCTATGAAGACTAATCTTTTATGGTAAAACATAATCCTTATTGTCTTTAAAAGAATAATTTTGTTTTGTTAAACAAGATTTTTATATATCACAGCTCACAGGAACTAAAATGTGTGAACACCAACTTAATACGGGTTATGTTCTTCTCATATATTTTTTGATGGTATTATACTTAACCCCTAACGGGAGGCATTGTGCTTGATTTTTTATATGATGAAGACATACTATTACAATCAGTTACCTATTCTGACATCGGACGCGGACTTCTTTTAAACTGGGTTTTACTGTGCATATTGCAGTGTTTGTTTATTCAACATTAGTAAGAGCTGAAGGGGGAGGGTTTAGATCCCATTAAACATGTTAAACCCCGCCGCATTTTTGCGCACCTGTCCCAAGTGAGGAGCCTCTGGCCTTTGCTAGTCTTGTATGCCTTCTTTTTAGTTCATTTATATGTTTTGGAGTTTAGTATGACGTCCATTTTCACAGAAGTAGTCCCCATTTTGTTTAGGGGCCAGCTGAAGCCCGCCTCCGGTTGCAGGATTTTCTCGCTCTGTTGAAGACCAATTGGTGGCCTCTGCTGTTTCTGCTCTATGGTCGGGTTGTTTTCTCTTTGACATATTCCCCATTTCCATTCTTAATGTTGTTGCTACTGAAACAGGTAGACAAGTTAAACAACCATTCATGCCTCAAAATGATTATCAAAAAATTGCAAAGACTAGATAGAGGATGAAGTTCATTTGTTTTGACTGTTTTCCTGTTTTATAAAAAAAAAATGATGAAAGTGTTGTGTTTTGAAGAATTTATTGTATCATTATGATTTATTATTTTATATATTCAATAAGGTTATCTCCTTATTTTATCCAAAGCATTTACATGTCGGGTGAATAAGTTTAGACTCTCACACAATAACATAAAGTCTACCAATGTAAGTGCACCGATTGTGCATTTAGACAATTTATGTTTCTTCACTTATGCTCGAGGCCAAAATATTTGAAAATTCATTATCTTATACAATATGTACAACATAAAAAAAGTTGCTATAACCAAAGAGGACCACCAAACAGTACAATCAAACCTTTCCTAAGTCAGGAATCTCATTACAGTAGTTGGCGTCTGTTTATGTAGTTCATACATGTTTCTCGTTTCTCGTTTTTATATAGATGAGGACTTCTTTTAAACTGGGGTTTACTGTGCATATTGCAGTTTGTTTGTTTATTCAACATTAGTAAGAGCTGAAGGGGGAGGGTTTAGATCTCATTAAACATGTTAAACCCCGCTGCATTTTTGCGCACCTGTCCCAAGTGAGGAGCCTCTGGCCTTTGCTAGTCTTGTATGCCTTCTTTTTAGTTCATTTATATGTTTTGGAGTTTAGTATGACGTCCATTTTCACAGAACTAGTCCCCATTTTGTTTAGGG